TTGGCTTTATCGGAGTCGTCCGATCCGTTCTCCAACTCTTTGCCACCTGGTCGGAGTCGCTTGTGAAGCTTACCGTGAGGCGCCGGATGCGCAGCTTGCTCTAATGCCGCAGGAAAACCTGAGGGTCAGGCGAAGACGCAGTAGCCCATGGTATGCGTTGGAGAGCATTCAAACTATCTTGATCAAGGTCCAGGGCAGCCAAATCCAGCTCACGTGCGGTATGACACGTCACAAAAAATCACGAACGAACGGTAGTTGCCGAACACACGGTGGAGGAGGTAACAGCTGGAACGTACCGTCAACATCCAGTTGCAGGACCTCTGGTTCCATCCCTGTCATACTCACGTGTGCACAGCGAGTACGGTTTGCTCGAAGAAGGTGCGTGTTGCGGGTTTCCTGCTTTTTGATAATCCTGAGCGTGTCGGCATCAACGTACTTGCCTTTGACGAGCTTGACGACGCGAAGATGGGGCTGGCGAGTCTGTTCGGTGTTGGCACCGATCGCAGACTCGTACACCTCGCGCGCTCTGGTAAGCTCCGTGTTCAAGGTGGTGAAAAACTCATCACGTGCTTGTATCTCGAGCTGCAGAAGCTTCAGCTCATCCGTATGTTGTTTCATCGAAGATAGATCGTTCAAGAGCAAAACGTCCTTCTTTGCGTTGCGCTCGCGGAGCATTTTGACGCATGTACGAAGGACTTCGACCGCGGCGTTTGCAGCCTTCAAGAACGCTTCCGCGTTTTCATGAGCCATGATATCGAATGCGACTAAACGTGAGGCAACAGTGGCCTCTGTTTGAGCAGCCCATAACTGCCGCTCCAGACTGACCACTGGGTCGGTAATGTCCGTTAGAGCTTCGGAAAGAGGATGTTCATTCCCGAGAACATCGTCGATTACCACTGCGTGACGCTGAGCACGAACTTCGCCGTGAAAAGGAGGCGCTACATTAAGCTGGACCTGGTGACGATCCATCGCATCAAGTACGGGATGATCGACATCATCATGTGATCAACACAATGCTTCTCAGCGATCAAGGCGCGCAACGAATCCGCGGTGACTAGTGGAGAAGCATTAGCTGGCGCAGGTGATACTGGAGGAGCTATCACAGTGGCTTCAGTGGCGACTGGAGGTGCTGCCGGGGCTTTGACATGAACGGTAGAGGATGGAGCTGTAGGAGCCAGGAGTCCAACCGACGAAGGCGCTGTCGAAGTGTCTACAGCAAACTGTGGGTTTGTCGAATCCTCTGTGCCGCCCTCCTGTGAAACAAGATAGGGGATATGTGGTGGTTAGCAAGGTGCCTATGATTCATGATGAAGGCGTGCTGACTTACCTCTGGCTGCTCACGTTCCTGTCGTCTGCGGGGTTGAAGACACTAGCGCGCTTAAGTCATGGCACAATTGAGCCGCTTCATCATCTTGACTCGTGATGGTGCTTTGGCGAATGAAGAGATGTCTCAGGGGGGGGGGGGGGGGGCGGTACCGTGGCTTCCATTACGACAAGGGCGGTTGTGGTGTAGTTATTTTATATAAAACAACATATTTGAAGAGATAAAGGGCCTCCTGTGGATAATAATAACAGAGCAGAGTTTTCCCTAGAGCATACAAGTGTTAAGCGTCGAGGTAAGTACCTTACACTTAGTGGGCCTGCAGGGTATAGCTACCAGCGAGCATCGACCTTCCTGGTACTAGCGTTCGTTTACGGTCAGACCAAGAGACTAGTCTAGGGTTTGTGTGTTGGTTTGTTCCCTACTTGAGGAAAGTTCGGGTATTAGATTACCGATATTAGTGATCTCGGTATTGATCGTATACCGCCGATACGCTACAGTCTGAGGCATTCTCGTGCACCCTCGTTAAAGGGTCAAGGCGACTAAGCAATATTCCACTGTTGGCGCCAAAGGGTGTTGGGGTGAGCGATAGAGAGAGGGGGGGAGGGGGCAGGCGAAGCTTGTGCCCGATACGCTTGTGTGTTAGGCCTACTAGCGTAGACAGTAAGAATAAGAATCGTCGGCTCAGGGTGCTGGGTCGGACTTGGTTCCTTCAGGTACGCCGCAGCGTTTGTCAACCCTCATGGAAGGCGAATTGTTGTATGCAGAGGCTCGCTACATATTTTGGTGAAACCCTACACCACATTTGCAAGGCTCAGATTGTTCTGGTGCAAAGGCAAAGCTAGGGTCTTCAGGTCCTCCCGAACAATCGTGGGCTATCGTGGTAGACAAATTGTTGTGGGAGCTTTCTAACTACGTTCGTAACTTGGGTTCACGAAAGATTTCCAGCACCACACTCACCTCCATGGTGCCCCACCTTGTTCTTGTGATTTATGTTAGCTACATTGCACTGCTTTAGCTGTGATGACGCAGTTCTCAGCTACAGCTCACCACCTAAATTGCGTAGAGCTTCCAGCTTCTTGATTGCTTGTCACGAGCTTCATCGTGCGCCTCTCCTAGGCCACACGCATTCCCATAGTCGCGTGTTCGTCGCCACCATGGGCTTGCTGAATGTCCAACAGAAAGCTGGTCGAAAACGACTTTATAGTCGAGAACGGAGTTGCACTTCGTAATCGCATCTCGAATTTCCAAACACGCTTGCATTACGACAACTTCGACAAACTAAATGTAGTAAAACAACTTAATTAAACATGGTCTTGGACCTCTGTAACTGAGTCAACGTTTCGACCAGGTGCTACGAGATCGACGGCTGCTTACGCGCTTGCCGAGGCTCCATTTAATATGAAGAGAACAGAACTCATGCTTATCGATCATCTGACTCGTGACTCTATTCGGTTAAGTACGATGGAACTTTTTGCAAAAAGCTTGGCAGATCGGATTTTTTTAAGAACGATGGTCGTGTTCTTCGTGATTGTTTTGCTGTTTTATGCGAGTGTCACCTCGTCTGTTTGTGGCAGCGATGAGGAATTCCATGGCGCGCTACCAGACTTCACTCGCATTCCGATCGCCAACGATCCTGTGGGCTCCATCGAAGTCGTATATCCCGCTCATGGGGCCATCGAAAAGGCACCTGTTGGATTTAAGACGCAGATTAACATCCGCCCTGAAGGTGCCAAACTATTTGCTTCTCAGTATAAAAATGCTAGCGTGTGTGTGGAGGTGAATGGTGTGGTCGTGGATTGTTCGCAGATTGGTGGCATATCTGAGTTTCGGTATTACCAAGCTGGAAACTGTACAGTCCGCGCGTACCTTAAGCGTTCTGGTTTGCAGGAAGTCGTCGAAGAGGCAATGTTTGATTTTGAATCTGCTCTGGTTTCCTTCACTGTAATCAACGAAAACGACTATGAAGAGCACATCGCTCGTGCGATCCGCAACAACGAGGCGAACCACCGTCCGGGATTTCGACAGTCACTTGTCGAATGGGCCAATTTGCAGCTCAGTCAACCAAGTGACAGACTGCTCCAACGTCTTAAACTTGCAGAGCTAATCAATATACGGGAAACAGAAGTGCAGGATGATCTACAGCTCATTGTTGGCGTTAGAACTGCGGTTGTGACCCATTTCTTTTTTCGACAGGCTATTCGCGAGACATGGGCCAGTAAATCAGCATTACCCACAGGTGTAAAAGTAATTTTCCTCGGATGTCGTCCAATTGCTACCGTCTCCAAGGATGAAGGTGATAAACTCACTCAAGAAGCAGAACTACGGAAATGGTGGGAGGCGATCGAGCTGGAGAAGCGTGTGTATGGGGATCTGCTAACGGATGAACTCGACTGTGACGATTCTTATTCCCGCCTGGCCGACAAGACAAAACAGTTCTTGCGCTTCGCAGCAACAAATCATCCGACTGCAAAGTTTGTTATGGTAGCAGATGACGATCTCTACCTCCGTTTGGACAAAGTAATCGCGCGACTTCAACGTCTCGATCAAAGTAAGCGTTACTATGCCGGCCATGTCCGAGCGATAGAAGACGCAACGAAGCAAAGACCTATCCGTGATCCTGAGTCTCGAAACTACCTGTCCAATGCCCAATACGCACTGAACGAGTTGCCTCCATTCGCACTAGGAGCGAACTTTTTCTTATCAATGGATTGTGTCAGGTTTGTGGCAAGAAACCACCGTAGACTACGCGATTTAGGCGGGATGGATGACATCTCCGTCGCTCTCTGGATGCTTTCCATGCAGGTCCATCCAAAACCGTTTAATGGTCTCAACTATCTGAACTCGGGCACATGTCGCGATGACTTGGTGTCGTTGAGTGATATCCACGAGTCAGCAATACGAGTGATTCACACCAACATCCAAGAACGTCGTCGTATTTGCCATGACTTTCAGCGAAGAGTTTGGCTTAGGCAGGGTATTGGCGCTTCGAATAAAGGGCATTCACGACCACTGACATTCACCCGCGAGAATCTAGATTTTGAGTTCGCCTGGACTGGGCACTTAATCGCTACGGTCTCGACAAAAACGCGCGCTGGCGTTAAAGTCGCATATTTTCCGGCAAACGAAACGTTTCCTACATACTTGCGAAAGCTGTGTATCCAAGTTATAAAAACCCTCCCGAATGCTATCACCACGTGCGCGAATCTCAACGACCAGGTGCGCACACAACTACAAGAATTGCACAACAAACTGGCGGCGGACACATCGGTTGATACAACGCAACGAATAAAGTGGAACCTCTTTCTCGAAGAAACGTAATGAATCGTCAACGACTTTTTTACGCTGTAGTTTTTGCCCGAAAAGCTTCATGGCAGAAGACAATGCAACAAACTACTACAGTAGTAATTTGTATACGCGGCGGGTTTTGCAGTAAGATAGAGGATTGTTTTTAGTACATGTAATATTAGGCAGAGAAGTGCTGAAGCATAACGTCTGCCATAAATCGGTTGGATAGAGCAGGATGCCACGAGAACGCCAGATTAAATGACGTCTTGTTCGTCACCGGTCGCTCTTGGCGCATCCGGTTATACAACTCGGGCGAGTCATCCAGCTGTAAAACGTACTCGGCGCAGAGTTGAAGGCTGTCAAAGCGGCCACAATCAATGAAGCTTGCAGGATTGAATAGTTGTGACACAGTTGCCGAGTCTCCCAGATAGATTGGCACACTACCCGCAAGGAATGCGTTCACCAACTTCTCCGTGACGTATCCAGGCGATCGAGTGTTTTCAAAAGCAATCACGAACTTGTACGGCGCGTATCGACGCACTGCATCATCGTTGTAGAACATGGCTTGACGTGAGACCAATTTGGTGAAATCAGGAGGTCGTGAAGACCCCGCACACTTTCCAAGAGCCTCCACGGGTCGACGAGCGTTAAGCAGATCATACATCAGCTCACGACTGCTGTGCTCGCAACGAGCGTACAAATACGCACAGAATTTTTGCTTAATCATCCCCCGTTTCGATGCTGCCGATGATAACAGCGACAAGGGTCCGTGATCTAGACGCTCTGCAAAGGAGATACTTGCCATCGGAAGATAGACATGTCTAGTTCGATTTGTAGTCGCTAATGTCGAAATCAAAAGTATCCGTTCGTCAAGTCCGTCAGTGCCCCATGCTTCACCTGAAAGCATCACTAGCTGTGTTGATCGATTCGTCGTTATTGGCTGGCTTTCGCTGCGGTGGGCGACATAGCGTTCGAGATAATAGGCTATCATCCTCTGGCAGGCAGGATTCCTCACCGGGCTGCATTTTCCATCAAGGATACTGAATACAAACACGTCGGGAGATCTGTTGGGATAATGCTGATGCAAAATGCTTTCTGGTAGGACTAAAAGGGCCCTGTTGTGCTCTTCAAACACGGAGACGAAGAGGCATTCCAACAAAACTCTTGAGAATGACGCAGCAGGGGTATACGCGACGATGAAAGGCGGCGCGTTAGTATCTGCATCAAACAAGTTGTATCTCCACAGCTGTACTCGCGACAAATCGATGAAGTTCGGGTCACTGGCACGCTCGTAATACGTTTGAAGTGTATCTGGAGCTTGTCGAGTGATGTCGTGACAAGATAAATTTCTCGCTGCGCCGGGAAAGTGTAGGCGAGCCACGCCACACATTCGATAAAAATGATTGGGTAGCGTCTCCAATGCCGGAAAGTAAAGCAACTTGATTCCTGCTGAAAAGTCTGTAGAAATTACGCTGGCGATCGCAAGACCGTACGCTGCTGTTGGATCGTGGAACGAAAACTCAAATTTGAATGACTCGATCCAGTTTGGTAGTCTAGAAGATTCTGTTGACGGGGCAAAATGTTTTGGTTTCATCCAAAGGTGACGATTGTATCCATGGCATAATGGACGCATTTGAAGGAGGTTACTGTGAACAATGCGAATTGATAGCGGGGATAAGTCACCGAGTACAACGAGATCGTCGGTACATCGACCACCGCGCAGATGTTCCAGCTTACCAAAGGGCTGGGCATGGACCTGGATTGCCAACATCCATACGGCCACGCTCATGTCATCCATTCCTGCCATGTTCGTCAAGCGCATTCGGTTCTTTGATACGAATTCGACGCAATCCATGGAGAGGAAAAAATACGCCCCAATCGCAAAAGGAGGCAAATCGCTCATCGGATAAATCTTGTTGCTGAGAGAATACCGATAGATTCCACCATTCGCACGGATAACTTTCTCTTTTTGCGCGTTCTCAATGGCACGAACTTGTCCGCTATAAAAGCGTGCGGCTGGTGCTTTTGTGGTCAACTGCTGTACAACTCGATCCACTCGAACATAAACGTCATCGTCGGCGATCATCACGTACTGAGCGTGCGCATACTGTGTCGCGCTGAAGTGAAAGAACTCTTTGATTTTACTTGAGAGGTCAGCGTAAGAATCATCGCAATCCAACTCGTCCGTCAGCAAATCACCGTAAACCAGTTTTTCTAGCTGAATCGCCCCCCAAAGGCGACGAAGATCAGCTTCCTCGTCGTCAAGAGAGCCATTGGTACTGTCTTCTGTCTTGCCAAATGGTCGGCACCCCAAGAAGAAAACCTTAACACCAGCGGGTAGTGTGTCTTTGCTGGCCCATGTCTGTCGAATAGCCTGTCGAATAGCAAAATTTGTCGTCACCACTGTTTTGATCCCTATCACAAGAGTCAAATCTTCTCCACTTCTATCCACAACGGACGCCTTGAGCTCGTTTCGATCCTGTGCTAGTCGCTGGAGGAGTTTCTCGTCCCGACGGTGCTGCTGCCGCCCTGCCCATTCGACAATGCCGACATTAGAGTCGGGGTATTGCTTCCCTTCTTCTCGTCTCTTGTCGGAAATTGCAGCGTCAAAGTCCACATCGGATACCACTGAGAAGTAGACTGTATTCGATTGCCAGGAACGTTCATCACTGGACGGACTGGCGTGCGCATTCGCTAAAATATAAGCAGAGACACTATACTTCCCAGGCGTATAATGCTCAATCACCACATCTGTTCCACCAATTTGAGAGCAACTCGTCGTACTATTCGCAGCTCCATTCAGGTCACTTGTTTCAATGCACAGTACTTTCCCAGTGAAGTGTTTTACAAAGTGCTCTGCTTTACCCGTGCGGACATTAATCTGTGTTTTGAAGGTCACTGGCGCCTTCTCGACTGCACCATCATGCGGGTAGACAATCTCGATGGACGAGATGGCATCTTGTACACTTGATAGCGAAAGCAGGGCGCTGCAAGCAGGAGAGTCTGGCGCAGTGTGAGTGCGGCTTAGAGACGCAGTCGCATAGAGGAACAGTGCTGTGGCAGTCAGCCAGTGATTCATATCCAAGATTTGCTTGTTGATTCCGAAGCCATTTGTGTACCACACTCCAAGGATGCTGTGAGCGAACGTGCTTATTGGTCAATGAGAATACGAAGCGATCTCAAGTGTTTGTGTTGCGAGCGTGTTGCTGTGGGGTGAAAAATTCTTTGTTCTTAAGTATGTATAATAATAATAATGTGATGTGTTGATGTGCTACAGACAATGTGCAGGTTGTCGTATACCTCCTCTTCCTTCAAGGATCGGGTAGTCCGCGGCTGTTCAGGGAGTACGGTCTTGTTTAGTGGCTGCAGGAACGGTAGATAGGAACACTGTAAGATGAAATAGAAGTTTGTTTATTGGCTTGGCTTCCTCTTGGGTAGATGGAGGGAAATATAAGACTGAGAGCTTACTGGAAAGGAGGTCTAACACCTTCTCTACCTTACATGCACTACACCACTTCTCTTATACTAGAAAGAAGAATTCACTTCACCTGTCATCAGCCCTCGTGGGACAACAGGGAGTTCTGTGAAGGGGTTGATGACACTAGGTGCTTTGGTCCCACGACGCCAGAGAATCAGCGTTCTTAGATCACCTTATAGAACCACTCTAACGGGCTCGGTCGGGGGCACGTGAGCCGTCGGGTTCAGCGGGAACCATCCTGACTGGACGGCCGGGCGAGGAGTAGCCACAGGGCCTCGGGTCATCCCGCCGGGAAACACAGCTCCTGGAATGACCCCTTCGTTCCCGGGTACGGGACATCCTCCCCGACTTGTCGTTTGCCGTCCTCAGCGAACGGATCCTCTGCGTACGTTCCTCACGTTAGCCATATTCACTCCGTCGTTAGTCGCTTCGGCCGGTAGGGGAGGCTGGAACGCCTCAGGGTAGTCCTCGGTGCAGTCCTCTCTGAAGTCGGGGTCGGCGGCCTGAAAGTCATATAACACTTCGATGTCGTCGTCGACCCGTAGACGTTCAATGTTTCGAGCTTTACTGCGCTTGGATGCATTCCGGCGAGTACTTGTTAGAGCTTACTTTAAGGGGGACGGTTCGTAGAGGGCTTCCCTAGTTGTACTGACGACAAGTGTGGGATATCACTCCGGCGATCACCACGATAAGTGTGTCGGGGAGACTCCAGCGGGTCCACTCGAGGCAGTAGTTGGAAGTCAGTAGGAATAACAGAACATCACCAACACTCACCGGTCCCAGGAGTATGAATTCCACCAAATCAAACACGTTGACCGGTACGTATAGTAGCCGGGAAAGGCATAGTAGTATCAGCCAGCAGGCGGCCTCTCCGACAGCGTACAGGCGCATCCAGGTGGCCTTGGAAGCGTCCCAGAAAGCGTATCAATAGCGTACACATGAGTCTCGTGTACGGAGGAGGACTTCAGGGTTGTAGTCGGAGAAAGTCACCTTGCCGGCGATCCACCAACTCCGCAGCATCCGTCCATAGCGACCATACTTTTCCTCTCCTTTGAGCAGAACGATAGGAGGCACAGCGAACAGCGGGCTCCATACTCCATACGCGTAGGTAGCACCTCGGCGTTGTCGAAGTTCGCCCGCTTGTAGCACGTCTCGGTACAACGACGCACAGTCGCCACAAATATCACAGTTCATCTTGATCACACGCCATACTTGACCAGGAACTCCCAGGTAACGTTGCGTAGAGGAGTCGTTAGGACCCAGACCGTTACGGCACCTACGTACACCGGCCACATCTCCCAGCGGGCGCACTCGTAGAAAACGCTAGCTTGGGGCTCCATTATAGGAGAGAACACTCAGCAAATAAGAAACTGAGTACACCCGAGGTGACCCTTCTCGAAGTTGGTCGACCCCCATCCGTCTTAGTCGTTAGCCATCATCAAGTTCCGTTGCTGGGAAAGGAGGACACCGATTCCTAGTCCCTTTCAAGAGTCTCTCTTGCACCCAACACGCCGTTATCACAGGAATTTCGGGAGAGACGAAACTGGAGGTCCAGGTACCGATGGTCGGTCTTTTGGCTCATTCGGCAATTTTGCCTCGACTCCAAACGCTTTCTTCGGCACCCTCCCCTTCGCAACCCCCAGTTATGGGCACTTCGCGCGGCAAGGAGCCCCCCCCAAAAAACTCAAGGCCGTCTGGGACGTCGAGTCGTCCGACTCCGACGGCTCTTCTCCCGACGATACACCGACCGACGAGCGCTTCTGGGTCATCATGCGCGACATTCTCGCCACGAACGCCAGCTCTATCAGCCTCGAGTTGTTGGATGACATCGCTGCAGCAATCTTGGACGACACGGGGAAGGATGCGAACGCTTTGACTGGGCCGATAGTGATCATGCCCAAACCGTCTCGACAACCTACTCGCGGGAAGCCGCCTCGGCACCCACGCTTCACGCAGGACGGTCGATTTCCGCCCAAGAGCGTCAGTTCCGGTTCGACGAAGAAGAAAACGATGCCGGAGAGTCCTCGCTCCGGTAAGAAGCGTCAGAGCCACCCGTGGTCTTCGTGCATGCTACTGTTTAAGCTGTTGGACACCACTTCTTCTTAATTGTTGACGACTTGAAGAAGATCTACTACGAGGCGGCCAAGCTTGGTCAAGAATCGTACTAGCTAGCTTTCCCGTGGCCGGGTTCTCACTTGTGGTACAACCCGCAAGAGTATCTTCACGTGCACGCTTCTCACTGGCGTTTCTGGAATGAGAACCGTTCCAAGTTCTGGGACTGGTAGACAAACGTCCCATTGAAGACCTCCAACGCCCAGGCTCAGCGTCGTAAGGCCAAGATGGCGGCGGTGGTCGCGCGCGTCTGGTATCTGAGTATCTGCATTAAGACCTGGGGCTACCTTGGCTTTCTCAGGTTGTTCGAGAGCCGC